GAACACTGGTTCCCAAAAACTTGAAGCCCGAAAATCCAACCAAATGGCCGTAAAGATGCACTCACTTGACCGATCTTCCCAGCGCTTGAGTCCTTTTCATGTTGGATATGTGACGGGACTTTGAATCATGTTGCGGTGACGTCCTGCCTTGTTAAAGTGCGGCAACTAAAGCAAACTAAGTGACTTCACTGTTACATGAAGCATAGCTCTTTGTTTGGAACAACCCGTTAGTGCGTGGAAACTCTGCAATGGGGCTCCTTGGTCTGGTCTTGCATCTCGCTTTCAGCATTTGCAAGCGGAAATGGATTCAGGCGAGAGGCTTCACTGCCTATGGTACCATCTCTTGTGTGCAGGTGTCTAGTCTAGAGTTCGAAAGATCCGAGCCAGGACAAACTGGCGACGGGCAATGACTCAGCCACCTGACCAGCTGAAACATCTGAGAGTGTTTGGCCATCATGTTCTGATCCGACACTCGGACGTGAAACCAACATCATATGTGATTGAGCAAACAAGCAAAGGCGAGAAAAACTGAGCTATTAACCGACAGTCCCCAACTTCAGAGGGTCCTCGCTGTCATTCTCTAACGCAGACAATGCCCACGTCCAGTCTTCAAAACAAACGACTCTAGAACACTTGAGAATGGGCATGCCTACCAGTTGTTTACTTGAAGCAATCATCGAACCGAAGGCAACACACATAGAAGTGAACGCTGAATGCGACATCAGCAGAAACCAAGACAGCGCAGCTCAATCATAGGACACATGTACCTCGAGTCTCCATGACCCTGTCATGGGTCCACGACCACTTTTTGTTTGGGTAATGACCAACCATTTTAACAGGGTCATGGAGACTCCAGGCATTTCCTGTGTCATTTGGGGAAAATCCTTTCCGGGAAAATGCAAATGCGCGAGGCCTTGGGTCCCCCAGTCTTCGTTTTTAGACGAACCGCGTGCAAGAAGCAATAAGTCAAAAGGCCTTGGGCCTTGAAGGCCTTCCGCTGAAAAGCCATCCACATGATTAGAGTTAGGCAACCAGTTATAGAATGTTATATATATATATATTTTTTGTTTTTATGGTTTGCTACTATTTCGAGTCACTGGTAACATGTAAAATGTGTGTCCTAAGTCAACCTCAGATTGGTCCAAAGCGGGCATACAAGCGTGATACATGGGGTTTGTCTCGAAATGGGAATCGGTCCCAACGTTTTCCTGTGGTTTCCATTTAAATCCACCCTCCCCCAACCTCTCAGGAAAAAAAAACACACAACACCAAAACACAACACCAAAACACACACCCACAGGGTCACCCCACATGTTGATGAACCAACACCCACGAATAGACGAGAGTTTTTCACATCCAAACTCCGCCGGAGCGGCAAATCCCGCGCGGCGGGTCGGGTGTCGGGGTGGTTAAGACATGTGAACACGGTAGTCCCCTACAAATTGACACACGGAACCCCCAAAGAACATGTCTAAAGGAAACTCCTTTTGGGGACCCATGCTCTTTTTGGGTTAAACCAACAAAAACAAAATGTCTAGAGGAAGCTCCTTTTGGGGACCCAAGCTCTTTTTGGGTTGAACCCCCAAAGAACATGTCTAGAGGAAACTCCTTTTGCAGACAAGCTCTCTCTCTCTCTTTTTGGGTTCAAGCCAGTTTTGGGAGCCCCTAAGATCCCCTGACTTGAGAAGCAACACATCAGCCACCACATCACAGGGTCTGAATTTTTGAAGCAGTGCCTGCCCAACTTGCCGGTGCAATTGGCAGCGAATGAGAAATGGAATGACCGCAAAACAAAAACAGCCAACTGGTGGTTTCCCTTGAGGGGACTCCTGGGTTCATTCCCTCATTCCCTACTGAGCACCAGCAAGTTACAAATACTCTAGATTTGGCATTACCAGTTTTCACAACTACACCTCAGTGCGCCCGTGCCGAAGTGCACAGAGATTCCGCAAACCCAGAATCCCAAGCATTGCTAGGTCTGCTCGAAAGCAACCCTTGTCAAAGATAGCAATATACCCGCATCTTGCAAAGTTCGCAACAAATATCACGAATGTTTTACCGTGCTTCCTGTTTTCATGAAACAGGAAGTGTCTGAAAATGGGGACCCCCTAAAATGAAAAAGTGTTCAATTGGATTTTCCTTTGAAACAACCGATGAACACAAAGAGGTGCTGCACCAGAAGCCTAAAAAATAAGCTCAGGTGATATCCCCAACAGGATGCGAAGAACCTCGTGGAACCCTCGTGGCCCTGGTGGAACCCTGGTGGAACCCTCGTGGAACCTTACCTCAGGGCCGCCCCGGACCACCCCGGAGCCTATCTGGGCTAACACCCCAAAGCTTGCAGCTGTTGGGGAAAAACACACGCCCAGCTGACATTGTCGGAAAACAGGGGACCCCCCAAAAAAGACCGGGGTGTCTTTCTGGGTCCTGGCAAAACCCAACAAAAAGGAGGGAACCAAGCCAATCCAGAGGCACGCCCAAATCGCGCGCGCGCGAAAAACGGGCTCGCCTGCACGCAGCTGGCGTCCTGCTCTGACAAGCGCGGCCAGCTGCGGGGAAGCCTGACCAAAAGGAACCTAGGTCCTCCAGTAGAGAGTTTAGAATAAGGGTACCCTTTTTTATGTAGTCTATTTATTTTTGTAGGGGAACCCCCCCCCCACCCCAAAAAAAGGTAAAAGGGCACTATTGGGGGACCTAGGAACTCATTTGTCATGGAGGCTGGGGAGGGGGAAGGGAGATTCCCGGAGTCGCCTTCGGACCCGTATCAAATGATTTGGGGTTCCTAGGAAGCATTTGCATGAACATCACACTTCGGAATCGAGTGGATGCCAAACCATCAGAACATTCTTTGAGCCACTAAAATGGTCCAGCCCCCCAAAAATTCTAGAATCCAGGAACTCAGGAAGTGAGTCCCCGTGGACATGGCCCTTGACCTCCATGTATGTGTTTGTTCCCGTTGAAAACAAACGTATTTCAGTGATAGATTCCCTTTCAAAACCACCAGGAGAAAAATACATATTCTTAAGCAAATGGACGTAAAGGAAATGTCTAGACGCAAATGGTTTGTATTTGTTCTTCCTACTTTTACCAGAGGGATTGGATGGGGGAGGGATGCGGCAGATTTCCCGTAGAGCCTGCATGTCTCTGGCTTCACTGAAGCCTTCTCTTTGCGTCCAAATTATGTTATCAGCATGGGCCTCTTGAACACAAAAGCACCAAAACAACACACCAGATCCATGCGCTACACATGTAAAAAGACATAAAGCGCCCAAAGAACCTCCTCTTGGGCCCCACTTTTTTGGGCTTTACGTCAATTTCTAGGGGACTGCGCAGGCCTCCGTTCCGATCCACTGCCCGTCGCGGTTTTTCCCCCTCCGCCTCCAGGAGAGGATGGTGCCAGCCAGCTGACGACTCGAAAGGCTGGGCGCCTGCAAAGTGCCTCGGAAAATCGGAAGCCCACCGCCCCTTTCTCGGTTGCTGCAACGACCCCCCCAACAAACAGTTCTTCACTTTTTCAGGGTTTAGTGGAGAACCAAATCCTTGACCTCCCGAAAAGTTAAAGTCTAAAGACATGTACGGACTCCTTTGAATCGGGCCCTCAGCATCAGAAACCCCAGAGACCTGCGGTTAGTATGGTCTACCCAGAACCATGCTTCAAGAATTAAGAAGGCGGCCGCAACTATTTCTGGTAGTACCCGTTACTAACCTTCATCTACCCCGGTTTTGATTGTGGCTAGAGATAGCGATGCTGTCTGTCGTGTCATCTGGGACATTGCCCAGGAACCAAGGCTCAAAACCCAACAAACGAAGAAGACCGTTGAGCTTCAAGATCTGCCCCTCCAGCTCGGCAACCCGAAGGGCAAGCTGAGAGGGAGCAGTCAACTCAGAAATCGAAACTTTACAGGGTGGTTGTCGCCCAAAACGACCAAGGCGCACCCAAGTCATGGTGAACCCGCAGAGGAGACACTGAGGCTCCTCTGGGGCCCACGTGGGATCGAGGCAATGTTCACGCCTCTTATCATCATTCGTTCTGTTGTGCCAGCCAACACGAAGGTTCCTCCTCCTATTCAAGCAAAAGCGTATCCTCCTGACACAGGATGAGCCCAAGGCATCACGGAGTTGATCTGGCAGGAGCCCTTCCAGAAACTCGAGCGGGATCTTTTCCGCTTTTGGCCCGCTTTTGGCCACCAGATCTCAGGCATTTCGCCCTTGGTCACCCAACCAGCGATTTCCCGTTCGGGTTTGACAAGGGCGGCAAGCCCCTGAGTCAGAATCCCTTCAGTACTTGAAACTCCATAAATCCGTTTTTGTTTGTTTTGGGACAAAAAGGGGCACCCTCAAAAACCTACCTTGTCACTTCGTAGGGAACCAAGGGAACCACCCTTCACCTAAAAGATAAATAGCTAGTTAACTGCTTTTGTGGCGGCTGGGATCCACTGGGAAGGACACTATCATAATCTATGTCGTCCTCCAGATGGATGCCAAGGATTACAAGTGTTTGACTGGGGGATGGATGAGGGTCAACAGCGCAAGCAAAAAACACAGATGCAATTATACCACAAAACATTAAATCGTGTTTAGCAGCTGGTGGATGAGTCTGCTTGGCAAGCTGAGCAAAAGCAGCAGTAAGCAGTGCTTCAGGGACGGCAACATGCTCAGCCTCCAGTACTGGGAGCCCAGGATGAATCAAGCCACAATCCTTCACTCATGGGTAGGGAGGGAGGGGAGGGGGGGATGGAGCCCAAATTCATCCAAAGTAGCTCTTAATCAGCCCTTAACAAGGCCTTACCCCTGTGATTCACTATTTACCTTCATGGGAACCACCCTTTCTGCCACAAGGGCTTACCTGGGATCCACTGAGTATTGGGGTGGCAAACCCGCCCCTTATTGTCTGCCAGGCGAATTCCGTCGACATTGGACTTGCGAATTTCTGATCGGCTCGGTCAGAACACCTGAAGCCAGCAACAAGGACAAGAGCCCACCGGCCCCACGCTCAAAGT